CTGGCACAGGAAAGAGGAAGCAGCGCGGCTCTGAAAAGGCTTGGCACGAAATACTGGAGCCCAGTGCGCGGCAAGAGCATCCAGGATACCTTTTGGGGAGCGAGCTGCAAGATGATTACCATGGACACGGACACCTGCCAGGACCATGGTTTTCCCGAATGGAGCCCAAAGCTGGTCACGAGCTCTTTGCCTGGCTGCACGCCGCCTTGCTTTCAACTGCTGAATCGGGTTGGGGATCGCTTCATTTTCAGCTCGCACCTTCCTCGCTGCCGACTGAGGAAAATCTCAGTGGAGAGAGTTGGGCAGCGTGGTGAAGCCACCAGGGTCAGTAAGCGAGACAGACCGCTCACGATGACCAAGCCTAAAGTGAGTGCGACATAGATGATGAGAACGACGAAGAATAATAGCAAGTCCCAAACCCTGCGGGAATACAGGTTTACAGTAGCCATCCCCCGTAGCATAATACACTTTGCTATAGTACTATTCTGACGTCTAAATGTGATGGTGTTTCGTGCGTGCTGGTCTGCAACTGTCATCGTGCTCTTGTAAGTCGAGGAGAACAGGAGGGGAGAGGTGCTCTACTGAAGCTGCGTCCCATGCGCCCTGCATAAACTTCCGATGCTCAGCACTTTGAGATATCTCTCACGGAACAGGGCGCTCAGCAGGAGGCAGCCTCCTGTTCCTCCTCCTCCTCCTCCGACTGTTCATCCTCCTCCTCCTCCTCCTCCTTCTCCTCCTCCTCCTCTCATCATCATCATCATCATCATCATCATCATCATCATCATCATCATCATCATCATCATCATCAGCATCATCATCATCATCATCATCATCATCATCATCATCATCATCATCATCATCATCATCATCATTGTCATCATCATCATCATCATCATCATCATCATCATCTCGACGGTGCTCGTGTTCAGCCTGCTGCTCTTTCCCCACGGCTCCTACAGGTCCGGGTTGATGGCCCCACTGTGTCTTTCACGCGTCGGCCATGCTCCCGTGAACAACTCGCCTGAGGACGAGAAGACAGAGTTCTGGGCCTCCTTACTCAAGGTCCTGCTTGCCATCCCGCTTGACCGGTACACCTTCTTGTCCATTGATGCCAATGGCACCACGGGCTGCGTTGAGTCTTTCTCCCTTCCGCGGGTTGCGAGCATCGAGGAGAACGATAATGGCTACCGCTTCCGCCAGGTGATGGAGGAGGTTTCCTTCACGGTCTCCTCGGTCGACACAGATGATATCCTGCTTACATGGTACGGGGGTCGAAATCTACTTGCAGGCCGCCGCATTGATTATGTTGCCACTGCTTCTTCATTGATGGGTACCTGTATCGCAGCGGGCACGGATCCTTCTATTCATATGAGTGGTAAGGACGCCATTGATCACGTTGTGGTGTATGCCACCTACCAGTTCTTCCCGAAAGTACGTGGCCGCCCTCCTGCATCGCGGCAGCCAGCTTCTCGAGTTAGCAAGACTCTCATCCAAGATCCGGAGCGCCAGCTCGCCTTCCAGATGTACCTCTGGCAGCACCTGGCGGTGGCCCTTGCTGGTCCCCCTGATCCAAATGAACTTCATGATCGCGTCCTGGAGTGCATGCGGCAAGGCCAGCAGCTCTTCTTCACTATTGATGCTACGTATGATGGTCCACGGAAACCATGGACCTCCGCTACCACGGTATCCCTTGCGACGGCCACACCACCTCTTCGTGCTGATCTTCACAGACACCGACGTGCTCTACGTTTGCAGTTGCTTACCCGGTACTGGTCAGCCTGGTGTTGGGCACTATGGCGTTCTTCCAAAGGCAGCTCCCATCGTATTTGTCAGTGCTACTCGGTGGTGCAGGCGCCCGTGGAAGGCGGAGATGACCAGGCCGGAAATGTTACGACGAATTTGGGAAACTTGGTCAGCGTCGCTTCGGACAAGATGCCATGGGTTCTCAAGGGGTGCGCTCACTGTGCTATGCTTCCTGCTCTTCGTCGAAGAGAGGCACGCGCACTGGCCTCTCTGCGTGCGCACCGCAGCTCAGTCTCCGCTGCCATCACCGCCGACTTCAATGCGCGGGCTACCACTATTGCAGCTGAGGCAGAGGCTGCCGCGGAGCGTAATGACCCTGCTGCCCTCTTCGCGCTCACCCGTCGCTTGCGCACTGGCCATGATCGACCTCACCGCTCTATTCGAAATAAAAGTGGTACTCTTCTTACTGATCATGATGCTATTGATGCTCGCTGGACAGAACATTGGTGTGATCATCTTGCTGGGTCGCTTACTACCTTTGGGCAATTGCGTGCAGCTGACCATCGACCCGCTCCTCCTGATGATGCACCAGTTCTTCCACCGTTGCCCCTCCTTGATGTGGAGACCGCCATCCAGAAGTCCAGTGAGAAAAAGGCCACCGGCCTTGACAACGTCGGCGCCTCTACTTGGAAGGCCGGTGGCGAGCCCGCCGCCCTCATGATGCAGGCCGTCCTCAACGCCACCAGGGCATATGCTCGGGCTCCCCTCCTGATGAAAGGGGTCCGCATGCAGGACGTCTGGAAACGCAAGGGAACTTGCTCGGACACCAAGAACAGCAGAGGCATCCTCATCCAGTCGCACATTGGCAAGATCCATGGTGGCTTCCTCAAGGACCTGCTTACCGATCCGTATGTCGCTGCCATCGATGACACCCAGTGTGGAGCAGTGGGCGGTCGCAGCACTGCCTCTGCCTGCTTGACCTCAGTACTCTTCGGCGATTACTGTCGGTCCCACAAGTTGTCCTTCGCCAACCTGTACGTTGACCTGACCGCTGCCTTCGACACTGCCATGATCTCCCCGAGTACCCCCGTGGATGAAGTTCAGTCTCGCCTTAGCGCTGCCGGTTTCCAACCTCAGGTATGCGAGCATGTGCAGCCCATCCTCTCCAAGCATGGCAACCTCCTCATGGCGGCTGGTGCGTCGTTGGAGGTATCCACCTTGGTTGGAGATCTTCACACTCATACGTGGATCTCAGTTGCCAAAGATACCATTTCTGAAGATTCTCCAGTGGTACATACTACGAAAGGAGCTCGACAAGGATGCAAAATTGGCGCGTTGATATTCAACATCATGTATGAATATGCCTTATCCCTTGCCAGAGGTCGTGCTCATGATCGCCAGCTTCTCCGTGAATTTCATGTCAGTGGCTCTGGCTGTCCCTGGGCGCTTGATGCTGATGCAGATCCTATGCCTGATGAGCTTCATCCTGATCCAGTATCAGTCGTTGCTAGTGATATCTCTTATGTGGATGATGTGGTCTGGCTCCTTGCGGACGCCTGCCCGTGCAAGCTGATCATCAGAGCTAAGGAGATGCTCGCCATCACTATTGCCTCTTTCCAAGAGTGTGGGCTGGTTTGCAATCTTGCTCCTGGGAAGACGGAGATCTCATTATCCTTGGTTGGAAAAGGGTCGCGCAAGGCCAAGGCTCCGCTTTATGTTCCTGCCAAGAAGTGCTTCATGCTTCCGACCTTTTGTGGCCAACACCGCATCATGATCTCGCCCAAGTACAAGCACGTTGGCACTACTATACATGTCAATGGCTCCTACGTGCACGACGCTAAGGTGAAGGCGAGCTCGGCGCTGCAGGCTTACTATGCATTGGCTCATCGTGTGTAAGGTAACTACGATGTATCTTTATCTGTGAGGCTGTCGCTGGCCAAGTCGTTGTGCTTCTCCAAGCTGCTCTCCGGCACGGAGGTCTGGCTCGACCCGTCTGAGGACGCTGTCCACCGCCTGCACGCTGCTCGCCTTCGCGTCCTGCGTCAGCTCGCAGGGCGTTGCCGGTATCAGCCCACAGGGCACGGCACCGACGCTTCGGTGCTCAAGGAGTTGCAGGAGCTCCCCACGGACCTCCTGCTCTTGCAGCGCCGGTTGCAGACTGCGGCGGCCTCTTTCGCTGTTGGTCCCAGCCTCCTGAAAGCTCTGCGCTGCCAGCCCGGCACCCGGGCGGCTGCGGCGCTGCAGGCCGACCTCCGCTGGGCGCGTGAGGCTTGCCTGGAACTCCAGAGCCTGCCCGACCCAGGAAAACAGCCTGGTCCCTGGCTCTCCCTCTTCTGCTCCCCCCTTGCCTTCAAGCGAGCGCTCGCCCACATGCTTCCAGAGTGCACGCGCATGCGCACACGTGCTAGCGTGCCCGAGTACTTTGATGCAAGATCTCACGAGCCGCCCCCTCAAGCCCCTTGGGCCTGTCCAGATTGCCCGGCTGAGAGGCGCCGCTGCTGTGCCACTTCTGGGGGCTTGCTCCCCCACAAGCATAGGGTCCACGGGTACAGTAATCCCGCCCGTGATTACGTTTCAAGACCCTCCTGCCCCGCTTGCTCCAAACGCTACAGGTCGAGAGCTGCCGCAATTGATCACCTCGCTCACCGCGCCCCTGTGTGCTTCCGAGCAATCCAGAGTGGTGGATATCCTAAACTCTCCTGGCAACAGATCAAGAGTCTCGATAGAGCCGATCGCGACCTGGCCAAAGGCCTCTCGGGAGGTTGGCATGAGCTTCGCTGGGGTCCCCAGTAGCTCTTCCTTTTCCTGCATGCTGAATTTATGAATCATCACAGGGTTTGCCCTCTTATGTTGTTTGATGATGATCATCATCATCATCAGCAGCAGCAGCAGCATCAGCAGCAGCAGCATCAGCAGCATAATTGTTATCATCACCAGCATCGTCATCATCATCAGCGTCATCATCAACAACATCATCATTACCACCACCATCATAATCATCATCAGCATCACCATGATCATGATCATGATCATCATCATCATCCGCATCATCAGCATCAGCATCATCATCATCATCATCATCATCATCATCATCAGCATCAGCATCAGCATCAGCATCAGCATCATCATCATCAGCATCATCATCACCATATCCATCACCACTGCCTTCGCCGTCGCCACCGCCGCCGCCGTGGCCGCCGTCGTCGTCGTCGTCGTCGTCGTCGTCGTCGTCGTCGTCGTCGTCGTCGTCGTCCCGCCTCCTCGAGCGGGCGTGGTCGAGAGCAGCGCCTCGTCTTCCTCCGCCTCGTCCTGCAGCTCCGTCGGGGGGAGCCGCCGAAGCCCCGGGGGACAAGGGGGGCGGGGATGGGGGGCGCTGGCCGAAACCCGCGCTGGAGGAGGCGGGGCAGGAGACGGGGAAGGGCGGGAGGGGCAGGAGGGAGGGGGGGAGGGTCACGAGCGGCGAACGCTTCATTATCCACGCCCTCGCGGTCCGGATTCTGGGGCGCTGCCCCCGAGGATCCGTGGTCGCACGGACGCGTCAATCGCGGGGCCTCCTCGAACAAAAACGCCCCGTGTCCGCGGGCGGGGTCGCGTGCCAGGGGCCCCGCCCGCGAGCCCGTGGATACGGATGCGTGCGTTCGCCCACGAGGAGAGGGGGGACGAGGAGGGGGGGACGAGGAGGGGCGAGGAGGGGGGGACGAGGAGGGGTGGACGACAAGCTAGGTGCGCGCGCGTCAGATCTGACGTCCTACCCCTCCCTCCCATCCCTTACCATGGCGCTGATTTTCTCTATCCGCGGACTAGTGGGTGGTGGTGCGCGTGCGTGCGTGCGTGCGTGCGTGCGTGTGCGTGGTGGTGTGGTGGTTGTGGTGGTGTGTGGTGGTGGTGGTGGTGTGGTGGTGGTTGGTGGTGGTGGTGGTTGTGTGTGTGTGTGTGTGTGTGTGTGTGTGTGTGTGTGTGTGTGTGTGTGTGTGTGTGTGTGTGTGCGTGTGTGCGCGTGTGCTGTGGCATGGCACGGGAAATGACGCCAGCGCTGCAGCGGGAGCACGAGTCGAAACGGGCGGAAGCGCGGAAATGAGGCCAGCGCTGCAGCGGGAGCACGATTCGGAACGAGCGGAAGCACGGAAATGAGGCCAGCGCTGCAGCGGGAGCACGATTCGGAACGAGCGGGGCCCGAAAATGAGGCCCGCGCCTCGGCGAGAGCAACATTTTGAAAAAAATGAAAGCGAAAACCCAACTCCCGGGAATCCTGTGTGCAAAAAAGCAGGACGCGGGGGGGGGTCTAATACTTTCAGGCCGCCATCGGGGGAAGAGGGAGAGTAGTATTCATATTGAGTAATTGTGGAGGGGGGGGGGCCGAGGAGGGGAGTGGGAACGGCAGGGCAGGCAACGGGGGGCGGAGAAGAGAGGGGAGGGGACGGGGGGGGAGGGAGGGAGGAGAAGCTCCCGACAGGGGCGCGGAGCGCACGCGGGGTGCGTCGGAGCAGGCGCGCGGACGGAGAGCAGCGGCGAAAAGGACGGGGAGGGCGGCGACCGCAGAGAGGAGTCCGTCCGCGGGCCTCGACCGCGGGAGGGGGCGGCGGCGGGGGCGGCCGCGGGGTCCGCCACGTCACGCCCAGCACGACGGCGCCGCCCCGGCAAGAGGATGGGGAGGAGGAGGAGGAGGAGGAGGAGGAGGAGGAGGAGGAGGAGGAGGAGGAGGAGGAGGAGGAGGAGGAGGAGGAGGAGGAAGGGGGAGGCGCGATGCGCTGCGGCATCAAAGCGAGGCCTCGCTCCGCGAAAGGTGCGCCTCGAGGCTCTGGAGGGGGGGGGAGTCCGCAAAGCATGCGAACTACAATGTCCTGTAGTGCCCCCTCGGGGAATACGTGGGCTCCCGAAGAGGATCTCAAGGGCTCATTCGGAATTCCTCTGGATTCCAAAGGACATCCCATCATGTGATTCCCGAGGAGTTCCCTGGGATTCCAAAGGAGGTCCCTGGGATTGCTGCTGGCATCCTGAAGGCTCTCGAGGAATTCCTCGGGATTATATGGAACTTCCGCTGGGTCTTGAGAAACCCTGAGGAAGCTAGGGGCATCTCGAGGCTTCCTAGCGAACCCTTGAGCTGTCTTGGGAAATCCTTTGGAATTCTGGGGAAATCCTCGGGATTTCAAACGTAATCGATGGGACATCCTTGGGACTTCTGTGGGGATCCCTCGGGCCGCCAAGGAGCCCCTCAGGACTGCGGGGGAGCTCGCAATGAAGTTCTCAGGGCTGCGTATGGGATCGCCAGGATTCTGTCGGAATCCGAAGAAATTGTGGGGACGCCCGCTGGAACAATAATCCCAACTCGAGGCCCCGCCTGCCGGTGTGGGGGGGGGGGCGCGGGGCAGTTTCGCCAGGGACGCGTTGGAGCCTTCCGTCTTGTCTAGATTGCGCGGGAGCCTCCTTTCGAGGACTGCGGGGGGAGAAGGGAGGATGGGAACCGAGAGCCAGGAAAGGGGGGGAGAGGAGGAGGAGCGGGAGAGGGCGAGGAGGGAGGAGGAGGAGGAGGAGGAGGAGGAGGAGGAGGAGGAGGAGAGGAGGAGGAGGAGGAGGAGGAGGAGAAGGAAGAGGAGGAGAAGGAGGAGGAGGCGGCGGCGGAGGAGGAGGGGGAGGAAGAGAAGGGGTAGGACGAACAAGGAAAGCAGCAGCAACGCGAGGAGGAGGAGGAGGAGGAGGAGGAGGAGGCGAAGCCGTTGCCCGACTCGGGGGCGGGGACCCCCCCCCCCGCCCAGCCCCCGACACAGGGGCTGGGGGCCCCGCAGCGGGCGGCCGTCTAAGCGCGGCACCCGCGGGTCCGGGCGTGGCGCCCGCGTTCACCTGAGCCGTGGCACGGGGGGGGCTGCCCGAAGGAGTGGCGGCCCGCATGCATCCGATCCGAGGAGCACGCCATGTGGGGGCCCACAGCTGCCCGACGAGCAGCGCGCCGCGGGCGCCAGCTCGCCATGGAGGCGGCGCTCGGGCACCAGCAATACTCCAAGGTCGACGCCAGGCACCAGCACCGTCAAGCATCACATCTACGATGCGTCGACGCCAGCACCAGCACCGTCAAGCACGTCTACGATGCTCACGATCGCACCAGTCACAACCACATCCACGAGTGCAAGCACATTGTCATCCAAGTCGCGCCAGGAAAAATGATGCGCGAGCCAGGGCCACGACCAGCAGCACCAGCAGCAGCTAGCCACCACGACCACGACCAGCACCATCACCACGACCACGACTGCGACCAGCACCAGGACTTCCTCGCCCCGCCGCCTTTTTATCCCAGACGCTGCGTGCGGCCAGGACTGCGCACGACCAGGCCACGAGAGGAGCAGGAGGGGGAGGAGGACGAGGACCTGGAGGTGGCCCTGGACGAGGCGGAGGCGGCGGCAGGAGCCCGGACCTGGACTCGGCGCAGGCGGCGGGGGCCCAATGAGGCGCTGTGGCGGGGGGGGGGGCCGTCACAACGGCGGAGGCGGGGGCCCTGGGTGACTCTCCTGGGGGTTCTGGTGGCTGCGGCCGTGGCGGAGGAGGCCCAGTTACAGGCAGGGAGCGCCAGCACCGCATCGGCATCTGCGCCCTCATCCACGCCCCCAGCGTCGACGCCAGCACCAGCGCCAGCACCGACAAACCGCCTCGGCGCCAGCATCGACGCCAGCATCGGCACCAGCGCCGACGTCAGCAAAGGCGTCGACACCCATGTCATCAACGCGGGCACTGGCTCCAGCATCAAAGCCAGCGCCGACGCCAGCATAGACGCATGCATCGACGCCACCAACGGCACCAGCCCCGAAGGCAGTAGTGACCCCTGCCAGCACCGACGTCGGCATCGATAACAATACCGACCCCACCATCGACGCAACCCCCGAAGCCAGCATCAATTCCTCGTATCAGCGCCAACATCGAAGATGGCACTGATCCCAGCACCGAAGCCAGCAGTTCCGTCATCACGAACACTAGCATCGACCCCAGCATTGACGCCAGCACCCACGCCCGCAGCGACCCCCGTATCGACGCTAGCATCGAAAACAGCACCGACCCCAGCAGCGACGTCCGCATCGACACCAGCACCCCCTCCAGCATAGAAGCACCCCAGCATCGACCCAGCATCGACCCCAGGATCGACGCGAGCATCGACGCGAGCACCAACGTTATCATCGAAACCCACACCGACACCAGCACGGACTCCAGCACCCACGTCAGCATTGACACTGGTGCCGCCTCCAACATCGACGCCAGCACCGACGTTGGCATCATCCTCAGCACCAGCGCCAGCATCGAAGACGGCATCGACTCCATCACCAGAGCCAGCATTTACGCCACCACGCAGCGGCCCCCTGACTACGGCTTCTTCCCCGTGGTCTTGGCGGTGGCGGGGGTGCCCCTGGTCCCCGGGACCGGGTGGCGCCGCGATCGAACCTGCGGCGGACAAGCTGCTACCTCGCACCCCGTGTGCTGCAAGAGTGCCACTGTGGCGACAACCGACGAGGTGAACGTGTACACCTACCAACCTGAGCAGGCGGGCGAGCGCTGCGAGCATCGACGTGGGTGCCTACGGGATGTCTCGGCCACAGCCTCCAACGTGTACTACGAGGAGTACTTCGGTTTCGCCCAGGGCGAGAATTTTTTCAGTCCCGCCCCCGCTCCTGGGGCGCGGACGGGGCGAGGACGCTCAACAAGCTCGACTAGCAAGCGACCCTCTTCTGGGGGGAGGTGGCGACCACCCTCGCGCAGAAAGAGGTGCAGGCCGTACTGATGGCCTGAAGCCTCCCGACGTCAGGGCGCTGGTCGACCCGGAAGCAGCGGAGATCCTCGGGACCCCTCGCGACGACAGCGGCGACGAGTCCGCCGTCGGCGAGGACGAGGGGGAGCCCCGAGAGCCCCCCATTAGCAGGTGACCGGCGGCTTGACCTGGTCGCCCTATAGATCCTTGGCATCACCCACATCCTCGCCGACGACGACGACGAGGCCGACGAGGCCGACGAGCTGCACGAGGCCGCCCTGGCCGAATCCAGAGTCCTCTTCGAGCTCGACGACGACGACTCCGGGGCCAAACTGGCCGCAACGGAAGGTCACTGTCGAGCACCGCTCTCGTGCTCCGAAGGCCCCCCTGAGAGTGAAGTGGAGCGACCTTGAGGATTGTTAGGTCGGGCATATCCCCCTGCAGGTGGATTTTGGAAGAAACATTTAAATTATCCCAGTGCGACCCTACCTAGGAGTTGGAGCATCTAGGAACGCAACATCTACATCTACACCGACATCTACACCGACAGCTACGCTCGGCTGCGCTGTGCTATGCTAGGCTATGTTATGCTATGCTATGCTGCGTTATGCTATGCTATGCAATGCTATGCTATGCTATGCTGCGCTA